ACCTTTTAACTATTGTGAACAGTGGTGCTAGGAACATTCGTGTATGAGTTTTTGTGTGAACATGTTTTCATTTCTCTTGAGTATACAGTATACCTAGGAGTGGAATTGCCAGGTTATATAATTATTGCATTTTTTTTTTTTGAGACAGAGTCTCACTCTGTTGCCCGGGCTAGAGTGCCGTGGCATCAGCCTAGCTCACAGCAACCTCAAACTCCTGGGCTCAAGCGATCCTCCTGCCTCAGCCTCCCGAGTAGCTGGGACTGCAGGGGAGGTGTATGCACCACTAGGCACAACTAACTTTTCTATTTTTAGTAGAGACGGGGTCTCGCTCTTGCTCAGGCTGGTCTCGAACTCCTGAGCTCAAACGATCCTCCCGCCTCGGCCTCCCAGAGTGCTAGGATTACAGGCATGAGCCACTGCTCCCAGCCGATTACTCCATTTTTGACATTTTGAAAACAGCCAAACTGTTTTTCAAAGTAGCAAAGTAGCTGCACCATTTTACATTCCCACCAGTAGTGTATGAGGGTCCCAATTTCTCCACATCCTCTCCAACACTAATTATTGTTGGATTGTTTTTTTTAACGGCCATCCTAGTGGGTAAGAAATGGTATCTCATTTTGCTTTGGCTTTTTATTTCCCTAATGACTAATTATGTTGAGCATCTTTTCATGTGCTTGCTGGCCTTTTGTATATTGTCTTTGGAGAAATGTCTATGGAAGTCCTTTGCCCGTTTTTTAATTGGATTTTTTGTTTTGTTGTTGTGGTTGAGATGGAGTTCTTTGTATATTCTGTGTATTAATCCCTAATCATATGTAAGATTTGTAGATATTTTCTCTAATTCTGTGAGTTCTCTTTTCACTTTCTTTGTAGTATTCGCTCATGCACAAAAGTTTAAAATTTTGATGGTGTGTAAGTTATCTTTCTTTTGTTGTTTGTTCTTTTGTTGTCGTATCTAAGAAATCATTGCATAATCAATCCAAGGTCGCAAAGGTTCACAATTATGTTTTCATCTAAAAGTTTTATAGCTTTCGCTCTTGAATTCAGGCCTCTAATCCACTGGGGTTACTTTTTGTGTGTGATGTGAGGTTGTGGTCCAGCTTCATTCCTCTACATGTGGATATCCAGTTGTTCCAGCACCATCTGTTGAAGAGACTGTTCTTTCCCCGTTGCATAGTCTTGGCACCCTCACGGAAAATCAATTGACTATAGATGTCTGGCTTTATTTCTGTACTCTCAATTCTGTTCCATTGATCTCTATATGTCTTACTTATGCCTGCACCACACTGTCTTTTGTTTCTTCTTTTAGCAACACATTCCAAACCTAGTACCACACTGTCTTACTCAGTGTAGCTTTGTAGTAAGTTTTGAAACAGAATTATGAGTCCTCTAAATTTGTTCTGTTTCAAGAGTGTTTTGGGTATTCAGGGTCCCTTGCATTTCCATATGCATTTTAGGATGAACCTGTCAGTTTCTGCAAAAAAGCCAGCTAGGATTGTGAAAGGGATTGAATTGAATCTGTTGATCAGTTTGGGGAGTACTGCAATCTTTACAAAATTGAATCTTCCAATCCATGAGCACAGGATGTTGTGATGGTTCAATTAAAACCACGCTGAGATCAAACAAAAACTTGAACATGGATGTTCACAGCAGCATTATTTATAATAGCCAAAGAGTGTAAACACCCAAAATGTCCATCAACAGATGAATGGATAAACAAAGTGTGGTCTATCCAGACAATGAAATATTATTCATCTACAAAAAGAAATGAATTACTGGTACATGCTACAGCATGGATGAATCTCAAAAACATCGTGCAAAGTGAAAGAAGCCAGACACAGAAGGCCACATATTGCATGATTCTGTTTATGTGAAATCTCCAGAATAGTCAAATCCACAGAGACAGTACATTAGTGACTGCCAGGGGCCTAGGGGGAGAGGGAATGGGGAGACAGTGCTTAGTAAGTATGAGGTCTCCTTTTTTAAGGTGTGAAAATGTTCTGGGAGTAGATAGAGGTGATGGTTGTACAACATTGTGAATGTACCAAATGCCACAGAATTTTACATTTTACGTTTTTTTAATTTAATTTAATTTTTTTTTTAGAGACAGGGTCTCACTCTGCCACCCAGGCTGGAGTGCAGTAGTGCATTCACAGCTCACTGCAACCTCAGACTCCTGGCCTCATGTGATCCTCCTGCCTTAGCCTCCCAAAGTGCTGGGACTACAGGTGTGAGCCACCGTGCCTGGCCTGCCCTAGCTGGCCACCGCGACCCTGAATCAGGGGCTTTCTTCCCCTGCTGTCTTTCTCCCTTTTAAACAGTTTTATTGAGATGTCACCCATT